TTATTGATAGTTGCTTATTAAAAATTTTTAGTTTTTAAAAAAATTATCACCGCCATTACTTTCGCCGGAGACTGTAAATTTATTATAACCAATTCAAAGTCCTAGATAGACCTACCTCAATTGCCATTAAACTCCCGATTCTTCCAATTGTTGTTCTTTGTCAAGAATTTTATCACCTATATTTCACTTACCGCTCCATAGATGTCTCCGTTTTTTAAAGAGCGCAACTAAAAACAAAGGCTACTAGAAACTGTTTATATCAGGTTTTACCGATTGTCAGGAAATGAAAATGAACTCCAAGTGATTATAAAAACTTTATATAACAATTATGATATGAAATAATAATTGTTATATTGTTATGAAAAAATTTATTACAGTCAAACATCCATCACTAATCATCACAAATATAATAGACATGATACAATAGTGGTTAAATAAGTAATGTTTTATTTATTTTGATTCAATGAAGAGAAAAACACAGATGATTTTAATTTATTTATATAAATATAAAAAATATAAAATAAAACAACCAAAGCAATTGCACGGGAAGCCATTGATGAATATCGCCTATTCTTTGGTCGCTCTGATCTATCCTTCGTTATTGGTAATATTATTATTACTATTGCTAATATCATTCTCGTTCTTTTCCACTTTTTATTCATTTCTTATTCATTCTCTATTGTTTTTCTTCTAGGATTTATCTTTTGTTGTTGGAAGTTTCTTCCGGTGATTTCCTTTTCTTCTTCACCACATAATTTGTGGACTTTATGCCAAATGAAAAATTTGGTCTTTTTATTAAACGATTTTAGAATGCTTCAATTCCCTTGGGTATTTTTGGTTACCCAGATGATTTGCTTGATTTATGTTTTCCTAGGCTCTATTAGATTAATTATTTTATTAATCTTTTGGTTGGTGTTATAGAGCTGATTTTTATAGGTTGATGATGATATAGCAAAAGGCCAAATAATGGTCCAATCAACAATCTACAAAAAAAGGTAAAATATTTTGTCAAGTATTTGTAGTTATATTGATAATAATTGGTATTTTTTTATGATAATCGATATTGATTTCAATGCGAAGGAGTGTATTATTTGGATCAATAAAAATTTTTTTTCCAATTCCATTGCAATTCTCTGTGACATAATTACAATTGTTCACTTTGTCTAGTTTTGTTGTGTATACCCACCCACCAAATTATAGGATTAAGCAATATAGTGATGATATTTTTGTGATTTTTATTTAATATTGTATATATATTTTCCATAATAGCTATTTATAATTTAATTATCCATTCATTGATATTTCATTTAATCTAAAAAAAAACGATAATAAAAACAATCAATTAATATTATTTCATAAAATATTAAAGTAATTCTTATTATTAATGAGAAATTTTGTGTAAAGCTAACAAGAAAGGGTAGAGTTTCTAACGAAGTTCCTCTTCTTTAGCTCTCTTTTGGTTTTTGAAGTCTGGGTGACTGTTTCAAACTCTTTAGTAAAGATTAAAATGTAAGTCTTTAATTATCTTATTCCTATAATTTTTAATTCAATTATGTAGATCATTCTATATTAATATGCAAAGTGATGCATTGTTATTATTGTGTGATTCTTGGAGTCCCAAACGTCTGTCTGATGACGTTATAATCACCCTTTAAATTCCAATTTTTTTTTAAAAAATTTATCGATGAAAGATGAAACCATCAAATTTTATAAATAGTTCAAATGCTTTGAATAATAATAATTACATCAACAATGGCGAGAATAATGGTATTAATGATCCTGGCATTAGCAATAGCAATGGCAATGGTATCAAAGAAAAAAGTTAAGTGAAACTCATTAAAAAAAAAAAAATTTCTTTTTTCAATATTTTTTTAAATTTTTTTTTTTTAATACATAACTTTTTGGAAACTTAGAAAATTTTCCACTCGTTACTTATCATTATCATCAACAATTTATAAAAATTGATATTAGAAGAATTGAAACAGAACCGACCAAAAATCAGATTTTTCTTTCATCCGTTCCAAAACTAATGTTATTGTTACGTTTTATCTCTAGTGAATTATGTATCGTTTTGAATGCAACTAAAGATGAATATGTGATTCCATTGGATCAAATTAAAAGATTCAAAGTAACTCAAGAACGAGAGATTATAATCGAATTGAAAAAAAATTTTAAGAAATTTGTAAAGTCTATTATTATTACCATGATTATCATTCATTGTGATTTACATAGTGGTAATATATTATTGCAAGGAGGTGTTTGTTATATCACAGATTTTGGGTTATGTGGACCAGTTGATGAAAAATCATCAAATAAAATTTATGGAATTGTACCTTATATTGCACCAGAACTATTTAAAGTAAAAAAACACACAAAAGAAACTGATGTTTATAGTGTTGGGATGTTAATGTGGAAAATATTTGCAGGTCATCCACCATTTGATGATAGAGCTCATGATCATGACTTAATGTCTAATATATGTGCAGGTTTACGACCACCAATATTACCAGGAATGCCTGATGACTATGCACAAATGATGCAAAGGTGTTGGGATGTGGATCCAGCCAAAAGACCAACTATTCATGAGCTTTGGGATTTTGCTGATAATCAACTAGATGAAATTATCAATAATAATACTAGTTATAATACTACTGATAGTAGTAGTGATTTGCAACAATTACGCAAATCACATCCATTAGCATATCACACAAGTAGAATATTAAGTGACGAATTTGCTAAATTGAATTTAAGTAATGATAGCTTATTAAATTATGAAATATAATTTAATAAGGTAAATTAAATAGTTGGTTAATTAATTGAATCTATTATTTAAATATGATTATTTATTATTTAATTACAATGATGATAATAATAATAATAATAATCATAATAATAATAATAATAATAATTAGTTTATAAGGTTATAGTTGGAGAATTGGGTGAATTGTTGATAGGTAGATAATCACTATTTATTAATTATTTTCATTATTTTTCATATTTATTAACAATTTATTTATTATTATTTCTAGAAAGTTTGAAAATAAATTGAAACATATGTTTTTGTGATTAAATAATTAATATAATACATAATTTTCCTGATGTAAATTCAAAATTATCTCCAAGTCAAATGCTAAATGTAAAATGAATACTACATTTCATTTTTGAAACGTTTTCTTGAAGTAAATTGTATTGTTGTGTCCAGGTGATTGATTGAATGATAATATAATGTTTTGACTGAAGATTCATTTAACGAGGTAAAATAGATTCTCAATCTGGAAATGTGTCAAAGATTTGCTATACGAATTTGCATTTGGATTTACTTTCTTTGTTATCACTATATTTAATATTTTTACTGTAGGAAAATTAAAGAAATTCGAGGTACTGCATACTAACGTTCCAATGATCTGTTAAAGCACGCAAAAGAAGATTTTAATGTAAGAAGGTGAAAATTACAAGAGAAACAATTAATTAAGCATTTATAATATTAATAAAAATTAGAATTCGTTGAAATAATAATTTTTGCACAAAAAAGGGAATACGTCAAAAAAATTTTTTTTTTTTTTTAAAAACATTAAAAAGTAAAAATGGCCTTTAATAAATTGTTAACACCAGACAGAAGAGAACTAGCATGTAAAAGTTGTAATGAAATGAATAATATTGCTTATTCTGCTTTTCCAACTGTTCCTGACCTTGAAAATAAAAAAAGGTTATTTTTACAGTTAGTCAAAGAAAATAAAAAACTATTAGAAAATGAAAAGGAATATTGTAAAGAAAGGTTTATTTATGCTTTTGAATTAACAAATGCAATTCATAAATGTGGAGAACCAAGAGAATGCAATAATTGTAAAACAACAAGATACTCTGATAAATATTGTGAAAAGTGTATTAGCCTATACTTACAGAGCCTTTTCAGCACATGGACATCTGGAAATGAGATAATTGATGATTTTATTCAAAAATGGCAACAACTTTCATCTCTTCCAAGTAAAATTATAGAATGGATACCTTATGAGCAATTTTACAATATAAAAAAATTAACAGCGGGTGAATTCAGTTCTATTTATACTGCTGTGTGGACAAGAGGATATATTGATGATTATGATGAAAATAAAAAGGAGTTTAATTATATTGGAACTCAATCTGTAGTATTAAAATTGTTAAATAGTTCAAGTAATCCAGGAAAACCTTTTTTTGATGAGGTGATTGTTATTTAAAATAAACTGATTTAAACCATTTATTTTAAATTAATTATTTTATTTATATAATTAACTTCAGGCATTGAATTATTGTAAAATTAAATCAACTTTGATTGTCCCTTGTCATGGTATAACAAAACTCCCAGAAAATGGAAATTATGCAATGGTTCTTAATTATTATCAAGAAGGAGATTTAAGAGATTATATACAAAAAAATCATTATAATTTAACATTAAAAGATAGAATTAATATTTTTATGAATTTATGTAATGCATTATATGATATACATGAAAAAGATTTAATTCATTGTGATTTACATAGTGGTAATATATTATTGCAAGGAGGTGTTTGTTATATCACAGATTTTGGATTATGTGGACCAGTTGATGAAAAATCATCAAATAAAATTTATGGAATTGTACCTTATATTGCACCAGAATTATTTAGAGGAAAAAGATACACAAAAGAATCAGATATTTATAGTGTTGGAATGTTAATGTGGGAACTATTTGCAGGACATCCACCATTTGATGATAGAGCTCATAATCATGACTTAATGTCTAATATATATGCAGGTTCACGACCACCAATATTACCAGGAATGCCTGATGATTATACACAAATGATGAAAAGGTGTTGGGATGTGGATTCAGCCAAGAGACCAACTACTAGAGAACTTCGTAAATTTGCTGATAAGCAACTAAATGAAATTATCAATAATAATAATAGTTATAATGCTACTGGTGACAGTAGTGATTCGCAACAAGTATACAAATCACATCCATTAGCATATCATACAAGTAGAATATTAAATGATGAATTTGCTAAATTTAATTTTAGTAATGATGAAATATAATTTTAATAAGGAAATTAAATAGTTGTTAAATAATTGAAATCTATTAATTTAAATTTGATTATTTATTAATTAATAATAATAACAATAAGTAGTTTATAAGGTTATAGTTGGAGAATTGGGTGAATTGTTGATGGGTAGATAATCACTATTTATTAATTATTTTCATTATTTTTCATATTTATTAACAATTTATTATTATTTCTAACATATGTTTTTATGATTTAAATAATTAATATAATACATAATTTTCCTGATGTCAAAATTCAAAATTATCTCCAAGTCAAATGCTAAATGTAAAATGAATACTACATTTCATTTTTGAAGCATTTTCTTGAAGTAGATTGTATTGTTGTATCCCAGGTTATTGATTACTTTTGTTTTTGAAAGATAATATAATGTTTTGACTGAACTCGAAATTTAACAGAATGAAACAAAGAAAAATATACTCTCAATCTGGAAAATGAGTCAAAGATTCACTATGTAAAAGATTTTTTAGTTATGAAGTTTGCATTTGGGTTTGCTTTTTTTTTGTTTTTATTCCACTCTCATTTATACTATGTTCAATATTTTTACTGTAAAAGAAATTAAAAAAATTCGAGATACTGCATACTAAGGTTCCAAATGGATCTGTTAAATTACGCAAAAAGAAGATTTTAATAACCGTAAGATTAAAAGGGTGAAAATTATGACAAGTGAAACAATTGGGTAAAATCAAGTTTTATATTAATTGAAATAATATTGATTTCAAAAAAATTTAAGTTAAAATATCCTTCAACAATTTATATCATTTATTAACACCAGGCGAAATAGATTTAGATAAAATTTATAATGAAATTTCTTATTCTGCTTTTCCAATTACTTTTAATCCTGACAGAGAAAATAGAAAAGGGACATTGTAGAGAAGGCTTATTTATGATTTCGAATTAAAAAAAGCAATTTATAAATATGGAGAACCAAGAGAATGTAATAATTGTAAAACAACAAGATTCACTGATAAATTTTGTGAAAAGTGCATTAGTCTACACTTACAGAACCTTTTCAGCACTTGGACATCTGGAAATGAGATAATTGATGATTTTATTCAAAAATGTCAACAGCCTTCATCTCCTCCAGCTCAAAGTATAGAATAAATCTGGGTTAAAAATCAAAAAACGTATTTAAGATTGAAGAGCAATGGCATCAACAAAACAAAAACAATAAGTATTTATCATTCGTCTTTCAAAGGCATTTCGTAAAAAGTTCCAAATTAGTTCTTGATGAACTGGGATATTTGAGTTTGTTAGATTGGGTAATAATAAAAAAATGACAGCTGAAAATATGCACAAAGAACTTTGGAATGTGTGGCATGGAGAGAAGGAATTCCAAAGATTGTCAATTGAATAACTAAAACCTACGCAGGTTGGAAAAACCAAATTGCAGAAGAAACATTGTGCACTTTGGAGTAATAATTTCAATTTTTTGTCCAATAAAAATAAAGAAAAATATTTTAAAACATAAATTTGATTAGTTTTTTGACCTTGAACCTGCGGGATGGGAAACCAAAGCAAAGTCTTCATCACAAGGTTATTATTACATTTTTGTTTGTGTCCATTCCTTGAAATCTGCAACGCAAAAGGATCGTCAATTTTTAATGAGGTATTGAGATCTGATTTAAAAACAGTCAAACTTTGTCACAGCGGATGAAGGGACACATAATAAGAAAATTTTATTTTAAAATCCGTTATGGCAAGGTTATTAATTATAATATTAATACTAATCTTCTACAACGGATTTTATATGTTTTTATACGTGAAGCAAAAATTTTTAAAAATCCAGAATTTAATTATAGTCCGCTGTGACGTAAACTATTTATTTTATTCGCATGCAGGCTATATATATATAATATCAATATGGTATATGTCAAAATTTTACGTTTTATTATTGATTTCTGAATTTATAATTAAAGCTTTAGTTGATTCTGTTTTATTAAACAATTGATTGATTGATTGACACTTATCTTCCGCATCCTTTAGCTTGTGAAGCATGAGATCTCCTAGTTCGTAAACAGAGTGACATGAAGAAGGCTCCATTCATCTTGAAGAACTTTCACAAAATAAGTGCAATTAGAATCTAAATTTGTATTCCACCAACTTACTTTGCTATCACCATCACTACTTGTTTCATCATCATTTCATTGCTTGATTTGTTATCATTTTTATTACTTGATTCAATATCACTTTCATTGGTCATTCATTTCCACTGATAATTTGATAATTAGTCAATGAATTTGTTAGGAATCAGAAGCATCATGACTGGTCGGTCATTCATTTCCGCTGATATTTGATAACTGACCATTGAATTTGTGACCGGTCATTCATTTGATTGTTTCGTCATCACTTTAGTTAATTGATGTCTATCCTGTGAACTAGCAAGGCGTGTTGTAACAATTGTAGGTTTCCTCACTATATTGTTTCAGGCCTCAGCCTAATATAGCTAATTCACATGTCTTCTTGACAAAGGAGAGAGATCTTTAATATTGAAGAAGCATTGTTGGGTGTTGATTGATTGTATAGTGTATAAGTTCTTGAGAGGGGTGATAAAGTGGAATGAGGAGTTGAGTAATATTGATGCATCAGAAATAACAAATGGCAGTTTCTGAAATTCTTGAATTATAAAGATAATAGCGCATATGTTTTTCCATTCATGTATATTGGTACAGTCATACCTCTTTTATATCCCCCCTTTTGTTTTGGAAATTTTATGGGATATAACTAAAGTGGGATATAACTCAAGCAGTCAACCATTTCACATGACACTTAATTTAATAATAAAATTTTTTTATTCAATATCAATATTCATAAATTCTGTCAACAAGGATTGACGTTTTGCTTTATCTACAGAACTATTTAAACGTTTTATCAATTCATTAACATATCTAACATCTTTTTCTGTAGCAAATTCTTGTTGTTCTAAGAATTTTTTTGTAATCTCAAGTACTTTTTTTCCTTCTTCCATAGAAATAATTGGCTCTTCACTCATTTCTTCTTCTTCTTCTTCCATTTCAACATCTTCAGGTTGCCAAACACCTTCAGAAATAAGAATATCTTCAATAATATTTTCGTCAGTAGGTAATTCAGTTGTTGTAATGTCTGAATCAACATTAACGAATTCTTCAGCAGTCATTGCATGATCAATATTTACTTCTCTAAGACCAGAGATTAATCCAAGGATATCATTTGATGTAGGATCATCTGTAATTTCTACTGTTTTATTTGGTGGTAAGATTTTTGTTTTTTTCCAACAATTTTTTATTGTTTCCTCTTTGATTGCATCCCAAGCTTCTCCAACAATATCAATTGCTTGTTTAATATTTATTTTGTTAATTCTATTTTCTTCTTCCAAATCTTTAATCCATTTTGATACTAGTTTATTCCGATAGTTGACTTTAAAATTATGAATGATCCCAGCATCACAAGGCTGAATATGTGATGTAGTATTGGGTGGAAGGTATATTACATGTAAATTTTTAAGACCAAGATGTGAGCCATCAGTATGAGCAGGACAATTATCAATTAACAAAATCGATTTTTTCTTTAGTTGGGAATCAAACCATTTCAACCAATCATTCCATAACTCCATTGTCATCCATGCATTTGTACTATTGGAATATTTAACAGGTAATGTCTCAATATTAATATGATTGAAGCATCTTGGTTTTTGTGATTTACCAATAACAAGGGGTTTAATTTTATTTTTTCCACTTGCATTACAGCAAAAAAGAATCGTGATTCTTTCCTTATCTTTTTTGCATCCCTTTGCTTGGTCATCTTTTGTTGCAAGTGTTTGATCTGGTGCTAACCGAAAAAATAATCCTGTTTCATCTGCATTATATATGTCATCTAGTTCATATTCAGTCAACAATATATGACACCTTGCTCTTCCTTCTTCAACATTTTCAAGATTGGCAGATTGGCTTTCACCAGTAATGTTTTTACTACTGATTCCATATCTATTTTGAAAATTTTCTAACCATCCTCTTGATGCTTCAAATTCAGGAAATTGTGCACCTCTATTCTTCGCCTCATTGTAAAAATACAAGGCTTTTGTTTTCAGCAATTCTTGAGAAACAGGTATATTTTGGCTACGTAATCCTTGGAACCACTTATACAATGCATCTTCTAACACTGGAAACCGACCTGGTTGAATCCTAGTTTTTTTCAATTCACTTGTTTTAGCACTGGAGTAAACATTCAAAAGGTCTTCTTTTTTTCTAATGATATTACTGATTGTGGAGCGATCAACATTGTATTCTCTCGCAAGTGTTTCATCACTGATACTAGTATTAGCTTTTTTTCTAATAATGGTTATTTTATCTTCTAGGGTAAGTGGAGTTCTTTGCTTTCTTTTTTTATTATCCATTATTTTCAATGGGTTTATTAATTGGTCGATTTAGTTTATTTGAGTAAAATGTTTGAAATTAGGAAGTTTTATAAATGGAATTTAAATTTATTCAATTATTAAGATAAAAGGATGTGTACATGTTATGCTTAAGTAAAACCCAAGTTATTTTATACATGTAAAGAAGATACTTTGCCACAACTGCAAAAAAATAGTATAATTTTCTTTATTGTTAAACGCCATTAAAAAAAAAACAAAATAATTTCTTTGTTGTTGAGGAAATCAATCAAGTCGCTACTACACAAAAACAGTAATTTTCTTTGTTGTTAAAAAAAAATAAACAAAATTTCTGATTAATTCTGATTAATTGTCAAAGTCGCCACTAAAAAAACAAAATTTTCTTTATTGTTAAAGAAATTAGCCAAGTCACCACTAAAAAAACAAAATTTTCTTTATTGTTAAAGAAATCAGCCAAATCACCACTAAAAAAAAACAAAAATAATTTCTTTATTGTTAAAAAAAATAAACGAAGTTCTGCTTAAAAAAAAAAGAATAATTCTGATTAATTTTTTTATTGTCAAAGAAGTTAGCCAAGTTGTCACTAAAAAAACAAAATAATTTCTTTATTGTTAACGAAGCAAAAATTTTGTTAGCTATTTAAAATAATTTGTCAAATTTAAAATGTTGGTTACACTTGTATATCATGTACAAATAAGGTTAAAATGGGGATATAACGTTTCAAAAAATTTGGGGATAGGGATATAACTCAGTTGGGATATGAGTGAGGTAAAGTTTATATCAAAATAATATAGGGAAATCCGTCATGGCCCATCAGTGGGATTTAATCAAGGATGGGATATAAACAAGGGGAGATATAAAAGAGGTATGACTGTATTGATTCATGATTTGAGATTATTTATTTTTTAATTATCAAAACATATTGCATTCTTGCACAATATCAACATTTCAGTTTTATGGAAAACCCCATTTTATGGTTGGCCCAGTCTAAAGACACCAATTGCTGCGTCACGTGGAGAAAGAAGACAAAAATTTTTTAGTGAAATAAAGTTCGAATTGCTAATATTATTGTTTGATAATAATCGAAATACGGTCAATGATCGGTATAGTGAGCCTACTATAAGAAAGTTGAAGATTTTCCTATCTGATTATATATAAATTCAGCTCGATATTATGATTTTTAATATAAATTCTCTATAGCAAATGAAGTTTTACTAAACAAAGAAAAGAAGAATGCATTAGAGTCACGATGTATCAATTACTTAAAGTTGGTTTTTAAATAATCCAAGATTTATATTAATTTATTTGTATGAAAAAGGGCGCACACTACCATGATGATAGTAATAATTTCCCCATTAATGTCATTATCACAGGAGAATTGTTTGTTACACGCTATTACTATTCAGTTATCCGCAAAGAAAAAGGAAATATTGTAACTTTATACTGAAAAAAACCCCCACTTTCTCCACTCTAAATTTCATATTTTATATTTTTATATAATGTATATTTTAAATTATTATCACCAGAAAGAAGTGAATTTGTATTTAAAATTGATAAACCATTATATAGTCCAGGTATGGTAAAACAAAAATATCAAAAAAGTAAGCTTTTCTGAATATTAATTTTGATCTGCATATTTACCGACCATCCCAACGCACCATATTAATATATTAACATTTATTTATTTTAATAATATTGAAACATACAACAATGCTAACTTTAGCAGAAACCGGACATCAAGATATAATTAACAAGTTTGGTGAAGAATTTGAATTTCGAATCGGGTCAAGTTTTAAAAAAAAGAATCGTAATCGACCTCCTCTATATTATCAATTCATGTTATATTTATATTTATAAATAAAAATTTATCATGATATGATTTAGTTGAAGTTGACACAGAAGAAATAGATTTTACAAATGAGGCAACCATAAAGTTAGCAGAGAGTAAAGAAACATTTGAAATTAATTATAATGAACAAAATGGGGTTAGTGCGTGTGTATTTATTTATTTATTTATCTATGTACTTGCATTGAATTTTAGGCAGAGTATCCACTAAAATTAACAGGACATTTGGTTGAAGATCGTCATAATAATAATACTTATGATCCAGAAGCCATTAAAAAATGTTTAATGATTTTTGATGAGGAAACAAACGTAAATATTTTTTTTATTTAAATTTAGACATGGTCATTAGAAATTGTGAAATCTAGTTATCATGTTAATACAGGTGAATTTGATAATTTTGAAACATCTAGTGAACTGCAAGAATTTGCTATAAAATTTGGCGAAATGGTTGAAGATTACAATGCTGATGTTGATTTTAATAATAATAATGACAATTATAATGATATGGAAGTGGATGAAGATGATGATAATCCATGGGGAGAGGATTATTTAGAAGTAGTAGAACCTAATACAATACAAAAAATAAGACACCTACAAAATGATGATGATGACAATGACAATGATGACAATGGTACAAGAAATAATTCATCAGATTCAGCTTCATCTGATGATAGTAGTAGTAATGATAGTTCATCTGAAAATGGTAATGACAAGGATGATTCAGATTCTGGGGAATCAACATTGAATCCTGAATTTGTTGAACTCACATCAATGATGAAAACTTCATTGAATCAAGAAAACAGAATCAATAACTTAAATTGTACTAAGATAAAAATAAATAACAAGGTAAGTTAATAAATCTTGTACATGTAGATATGAATGATATAGCATATATACATATTAGTTAATTAGTCAATCAATCATCTGTTGTTTGTTTGTTTAGTTGAATGTTGCAGCAAATCATAATTCATGTCCTATGTCATTAGAACAATTTTTGGGTGGTGGAGGTATTTGTTATTATAGTGTTTATTTATTCCATGTTTATGAATTAATTATTTAATTAAATGAAATTTTTGCATTTCTTTTAATTGAATAAACAAATGGTATGCAATAATCCTCATGAAGAAAAAGAAGAAAATGATGATGAAAATGGTTCCTCATCATAAATAATAATCAACTTTTTTTTTTTTGGAGGAAATAATGAGATGGATAATTGTATTTTATTTTTCCAATATTTAATATTTATAGAAACCTTAGATAATTTTTAAAATAATCCTGTGATGATGGTCAATTTATCATTTGTCATGCTAATCAATAATAAGTAAAAAAGTACATTTACATAGATTATTTTTATTTGATCATTGATTTTTGTTTTAATTATCATTTTATTTTATACATTTATACATTTTAAAAAAAAAAATTCATAATAAGAAATATTAAGCAAATAGCAAAAGATAAAAAAATGAAGAATGCTTTTTTAAATGCTTTTTTAGCTACAATATATATATATGTACATATATATATGTTACTATTGCATAGGAGACATATTCAAATATTCACTTAATGAAAATGCAGTATCTGGTGTTTTCATATCATTAATTGATCGAATTTGGTTTGGAGGGGTTCCTGGACATTCAATCAAATCTTTTGATGATGATGAAGATGAAAAAGAGGAAGAAGCATCAATATTTTCTTTCCATGGACCAACAGTTGTTTTTTGAATCTTTTGGTTTTTAATGGCGCGATTTGAATCTTCCCCACAATCTACTTTTCTTCTACATGATGATGATAATGAAGAGTTTTTTATTGTTGGTGATCCATAGTTCATTAAAGTCCATGAATGATGATTATTATTATTGCTACGGTAATGGTGATGTTGGTGGTGACGATCATTGTTAATAATATAGTTATTAATATGATGATGGTTATTATTGTTGTTGTTGTTAAATCTATCTGACCCATAAGCACCATAATTTCTTTCTAATGAATTTAAATAGAGTTCTATGGAATTAGGATTCACCTCTATTGGGAAAAATGGAGGCAAAGTTTGTTCAAGAGAAGATGCATCAAAAGATGATAATGAAGCTGATTCTTGATGCAATGATGATAAAATAATAATAAGCAAAAAAATATAAATATTAATATTAAATATTGTTAATGTTGGAAAATAAATAAAGTTATTAAATTGATTGGTTGATTACCTGTTGTAGAAGAGATTCTATCATTATTATTTAAGCAGCGTTTTCTAGTAATAATTCTTTTATTATTGTAGTGGTTGATATTATCAGTTGAATCATTAATATCAGGTGATGATGATTTTGGTCGTTTTACTAATGAATCAAGTATTTCAAAGACAGCTTTAGCTTTTTCATCAGTGAATCCATTTTTTTGATGGAGGTATGGGAGAAACATGAAATGGAAGATGTATTCTTTCTTTATTTGGATAGTTTTTATAATCTTTTAATTTTTGTTCTATCATTCTTTCACATGTTGATATATCACAATTTTGTAAACCCCATTTTACTTTAAAATAAGCAAACTGAAGTCCTGTTCTTAATTTTTTTGCAATCTAAGCATTGATGTTTATTTATTTATATATTGTAAATAACTTCAAATT